TGTGAGTAAAGGTTGGGCATGTTTGCTAGTCTACCTTGCCACGAAGCACAGAGGTTGACACACAGGGACTTTCCAATTATCCAGCAGTGGTACTATTCCTTTACCCTTGTGGGTAATAATATGGTAGCTAGACCTTCAAAATTTATGGGTCTAAACTTTGTTAGTGCTGTTTCTTTTGCTATTCTTTTACCCTTCTTGGTCAGAGCGATGTAGTGGGAGCTGCAAGCTTCACGTGCTCAACTTTGGCAGAGAACTTTGGCAAAGTTATCTGTGGTACCCATGAGCTATTGTTGCGTGTGGGAAGTGGGTGATTGAACAGTAAGATTCATGTGTTTTTTCTACTTCCCCAGAAGTATTCGACACAGAATGCCCATAATTTCCGCAAAGCTGAGTGTGCGTGTGACAGGTGCTGACAAGGCTGGAAAAGTAGGTGCCTCTTCGATTTCTGAGATCGGCCCTCGTGGTCTCTGGGGAGCCCAGCTTTTGAGAAAGCGAGCGCCTCTTCGATTTCTGAGATCAGCCTTCGAGGTCTTTGAGCAGCCCAACTTTTGAGAAAGCAAACGCCTCTTCGATTTCTGAGATCAACCCTCGTGATCTCTAAGCAGCCCAGCTTTTGAGAAAGCAAACGCCTCTTCGATTTCTGAGCAGGCGCCTCTTCGATTTCTGAAGCTCCGTCGAGTGCAGATTTTTATAGGGGCTGACATTAAGTTCCAAAGCACACTTGAATCTCCACCAGTAGAAGCTTCATTCTTGCACTTCTAAGATCTTGATTTGTCCGACCTCTTCTCTCTTCAACACCTTTGAAAATGTCTGGCCCCTCCGACCGTCGTTTTGACTTGAACCTTGTTGAAGAGGCAGCCCCGCCTTCTCCAGACAACATATGGCGCCCATGCTTCGTCTCCCCTACTGGTCCTCTTACCGTTGGGGATTCCGTGATGAAGAATGATATGACCGCTGCGGTGGTGGCCAGGAACCTTCTCACTCCCAAAGATAACAGACTACTTTCCAAACGGTCTGATCAGTTAGTTGTTAAGGATTCGCTGGCTCTCAGTGTTCAGTGTGCAGGTTCTGTGTCTAATATGGCCCAACGCCTATTTGCTCGAACCCGCCAAGTTGAATCATTGGCGGCTGAAGTGATGAGTCTCAAACAGGAGATTAGAGGGCTCAAGCATGAGAATAAACAGTTGCACCGGCTCGCACATGACTATGCTACAAACATGAAGAGGAAGCTTGACCAGATGAAGGAAACTGATGGTCAGGTTTTACTTGATCATCAGAGATTTGTGGGTTTGTTCCAAAAGGCATTTATTGCCTTCGTCTTCTGGGGCTGTACCGCGTAATGAAGCTCCAAATGATCAACCTCTGATGCCTCCTCCTTCTAGGGTTCTGTCCAGTACTGAGGCTCCAAATGATCCCCCTCCGGTGCCTTCTCTTTCTGGGGCTCAACCGACTGCTGAGACTTCTCCTAAGCAACCTTTGTGAAGGCTCCCTCTTGTGTGTTTATTTTGACTCATGTATATGTACATATTTGTAGCTTATCGGGGATATCAATATATAAGCTTTCCTTCATTTCAACGTATTGTGTTAAATACACCAAAGCCTTCTTCGCTAAGTTCTTTGAATTTTCTTTTGTTGAAGCTTGTATGTTGAAGCTTTCTGAGTGGAGCATGTAGGTTGGGGTAGTGTTCCCTTAATTTTCCGAGTGAGGAAAACTTCTCGGTTGGAGACTTGGAAAATCCAAGTCACTGAGTGGGATCGGCTATATGAATCTTAGAACGCCATTGTGCTCGATCCTGTGTCATGTCCTTCGTTAGATCCAAGTACTCTAAGTCTTTTCTTAGAGTCTCTTCCAAAGTTTTCCTAGGTCTTCCTCTACCCCTTCGGCCCTGAACCTCTGTCCCATAGTCGCATCTTCTAATCGGAGCGTCAGTAGGCCTTCTTTGCACATGTCCAAACCACCGTAACCGATTTTCTCTCATCTTTCCTTCAATTTCGGCTACTCCTACTTTACCCCGGATATCCTCATTCCTAATCTTATCCTTTCTCGTGTGCCCACACATCCAACGAAGCATCCTCATCTCCGCTACACCCATTTTGTGTACGTGTTGATGTTTCACCGCCCAACATTTTGTGCCATACAGCATCGCCGGCCTTATTGCCGTCCTATAAAATTTTCCCTTGAGCTTCAGTGGCATACGGCGGTCACATAACACGCCGGATGCACTCTTCCACTTCATCCATCCAGCTTGTATTCTATGGTTGAGATCTCCATCTAATTCTCCGTTCTTTTGCAAGATAGATCCTAGGTAATGAAAACGGTCGCTCTTTGGTATTTCTTGATCTCCGATCCTCACCCCTAACTCGTTTTGGCCTCCATTTGCACTGAACTTGCACTCCATATATTCTGTCTTTGATCGGCTTAGGCGAAGACCTTTAGATTCCAACACTTCTCTCCAAAGGTTAAGCTTTGCATTTACCCCTTCCTGAGTTTCATCTATCAACACTATATCGTCTGCGAACAGCATACACCAAGGAATATCATCTTGAATATGTCCTGTTAACTCATCCATTACCAACGCAAAAAGGTAAGGACTTAAGGATGAGCCTTGATGTAATCCTACAGTTATGGGAAAGCTTTCGGTTTGTCCTTCATGAGTTCTTACGGCAGTCTTTGCTCCTTCATACATATCCTTTATAGCTTGGATATATGCTACTCGTACTCCTTTCTTCTCTAAAATCCTCCAAAGAATGTCTCTTGGGACCCTATCATACGCTTTTTCCAAATCTATAAAGACCATGTGTAAATCCTTTTTCCCATCTCTATATCTTTCCATCAATCTTCGTAAGAGATAGATTGCCTCCATGGTTGAGCGCCCTGGCATGAACCCGAATTGGTTGTCCGAAACCCGTGTCTCTTGCCTCAATCTATGCTCAATGACTCTCTCCCAGAGCTTCATTGTATGACTCATTAGCTTAATACCCCTATAGTTCATGCAATTTTGTACGTCGCCCTTATTCTTGTAGATAGGCACCAAAATGCTCGTTCGCCACTCATTTGGCATCTTCTTCGTTTTCAAAATCCTATTGAAAAGGTCAGTGAGCCATGTTATACCTGTCTCTCCCAAAAGTTTCCACACTTCGATTGGTATATCGTCTGGGCCTATTGCTTTTTTATGCTTCATCTTCTTCAAAGCTACAACCACTTCTTCCTTCCGAATTCGACGATAAAAAGAGTAGTTTTTACACTCTTCTGAGTTACTCAACTCCCCTAAAGAAGCACTCATTTCATGTCCTTCATTGAGAAATTATGAAAATAACCTCTCCATCTGTCTTTAACCGCGTTCTCTGTAGCAAGAACCTTTCCATCCTCATCCTTGATGCACCTCACTTGGTTTAGGTCCCTTGTCTTCTTTTCCCTTGCTCTAGATAGTTTATAGATATCCAACTCTCCTTCTTTGGTATCTAGTCGTTTATACATATCGTCGTAAGCCGCTAACTTAGCTTCTCTGACAGCTTTCTTCGCCTCTTGCTTCGCTTTTCTATATCTTTCACCATTTTCATCGGCCCTCTCCTTGTATAAGGCTTTACAACATTCCTTCTTAGCCTTCACCTTTGTTTGTACCTCCTCATTCCACCACCAAGATTCCTTTTGGTGTGGGGCAAAGCCCTTGGACTCTCCTATTACCTCTTTTGCTACTTTTCGGATACAACTAGCCATGGAATCCCACATTTGGCTAGCTTCCCCCTCTCTATCCCACACACATTGGGTGATTACCTTCTCTTTGAAAATGGCTTGTTTTTCTTCTTTTAGATTCCACCATCTAGTCCTTGGGCACTTCCAAGTCTTGTTCTTTTGTCTTACTCTTTTGATATGTACATCCATCACCAACAAGCGATGTTGATTAGCCACGCTCTCTCCTGGTATAACTTTGCAATCCTTACAAGTTATACGATCCCCTTTCCTCATTAGAAGAAAATCTATTTGTGTTTTTGACGACCCACTCTTGTAGGTGATCACATGTTCTTCTCTCTCTTCTTAAAGAAGGTGTTGGCTAAGAAGAGATCATATGCCATTGCAAAATCCAAGATAGCTTCCCCATCCTCGTTTCTCTCCCCCAAAACCATGGCCACCATGAAAACCTCCATAGTTGCATGTCTCCCTGCCCACGTGTCCATTTAAATCTCCTCCTATAAATAACTTCTCCGTCTGAGCAATTCCTTGCACCAAGTCTCCAAGATCTTCCCAAAATTTCTCCTTCGAACTCGTATCCAACCCTACTTGAGGTGCGTACGCACTAATCACATTGATAAGTTCTTGTCCTATTACAATCTTGATTGCCATGATTCTATCTCCTACCCTCTTGACATCTACAACATCTTGTACCAAGGTCTTGTCCACGATGATGCCAACACCGTTTCTCGTTCTATTTGTGCCCGAATACCAAAGTTTAAACCCTGAGTTTTCTAGATCCTTTGCCTTTACTACCAACCCACTTAGTTTCTTGTAGGCACATAATATTTATCCTTCTCCTCACCATAACTTCCACTACTTCCATAGATTTTCCCGTTAAGGTTCCTATATTCCACGTTCCTAAACGCATTTTGCTCTCTTGAACTCTACCCTTCTGTCCTAGCTTCTTCACCCTCCCCCGTCTAATAGGATCAAAGTATTTCTTTTGTGTGTCCCGGGTAAAGTTGATAGGAGCATATGCTCCCAAACAACTTTGAGTGGAGTCGTTCGAAAAGAAGTTTCTATGGCCCCCTTGCTCATTTAACACTGCATCTGGGTGCCGATGGAGATACAGCGACCCTTGCTCACTTATCACTGTGCTCGGGCCACACAGCGCGCCACTTACGGGTGACGCCCTAGCTTTAGCGCGATTTTGTTCTGGATTCATTTTCATAAGGATTCGACGTGATCATGGAGTGCCGGCTGTCGACTACCTGACGCCCTCCCCCTCCTCCTTTATCCGGGCTTGGGACCGGCCATGTAAGACATAGGCGGGGTCGTAAGAAGAAACAACACCTTCATAAAACCTGCAGACAAAAATTTCATGCAAGAAAATAATCATTTGGGGCTTAAAACTTCAGCTTCACAGACTTAGTGGGCCATATAAAAAAGCATTGAAAAATCGCATGAAGAATAAAGCATTAACCCAAGAGGGATTTGACTCTTCTGGCAGTTTGGGAAGCCAAAAATTTCACCCATGGGGTATCTACTGAAGATCATGAGCGAAACAAAATAACACATGAAAACATCCTGCATGTCATGGTCAAGTTACTGACTTCTTGCATTGGGTCAAGAACAGAGATATGATTTCCGCAGCAAACAATGCAAAAAAAGGAGGTGTCATGGTCAAGTTACTGACTTCTTGCATTGGGTCAAGAACAGAGATATGGTTGCCGCAACATACATTACAAAAAAAAATGAGGTGGGTTCGGTCCACATAATTCAAATTTTCCAAGTAAAATTTAATCCTAATCTCTCACCATATATACCCCTTTTCTCCTCGCTCCCTCTCCCACACCACCACCTCTTCCTCTCTCTCTCTTCCCAAAACCCAAGACTCTTTGTTTCTCCAAACTCGGCTACCAAGCAATGGACACCACCACCTCTTCCTTTTTCTCTCTTCCCAAAACCCAAGACTCTCTGTTTCTCCAAACTCGGCTACCAAACAATGGAATCCAGATCTGCTCCGAACCCAAATCACCAATGAATGCCTATTTTTCAACTAAATAGGAAAATTTCCCATGAAACCGAAAGCTAGGAACTTTGAACAATGAAATTAAAGTTCACTTAAACCAATTTACAATCAGATGAGATGGAAAATTAGCTAATTAATGCGATTCGATCCTTTTCTGGACGGATTTCCCAAATATTTCACGAAAAAAAGATTAATTAACGATTTAATCAAACAATTGGAAACTTTAGCATAAAAATACGAAAATAGAATGAGGAACACAAAATAGGGAGAGAAATAGAGACCTTGATTCGAAGAGAAATGGTGAAGCCCTAAATCGAGGTGCTTGGTGCAGAGAAGAGAGGCGAGGAGGGAGACGGGGAGAGCAGGAGTCGAAAAGGTGGGTTTAGAGTCTGAAACGGTGGGGAAGCATCTATTGAAAAGTTGGGTTGACATATAAGAAGAAGGGCAAAGTTGAAATAACAAAAAAGAAGCAGGGGTGAAAATGGAAGAACACTGTTAATGAACAGTGTTTTTGTGTGTGGGGTTTTAGCATATGTATAATATCATAAAAGAACTATAGATGGGGGAATGTTGTTTGCACAATAGGTTTGAGAAAGAGATAGGCGCAAGATATAATTAACCTTTTTATTTTTATTTTTAGTACGGTTTAAATGTTAAAATGGTCCATATTTTTTAATTATTAGGTTAATTTAGTTCTCATGTTTTCAATTTGGCTAATTTGGTAATTGTGTTTATCGCCGTTAGCCAATTAAAGACATTTTCATCTAATTTCTGTAAAAAAATTATAAATTATTATAAAATTATATTTTATTTTATTTAAATATTAAAAATGAAAAATATTAAAAATTAAAAGAAAAATTTTTCTCCTCCCAACTCTCCAACCTCATTCCTAACATTACCCCCTCCTCTTTGCTATGTCACAACATTAATCATTTTTCATATTAGAAGTTTTATTTCTTATATGTGTTATTTCTCATTTATTTGCATTTTTTATGTAAAGAGAAAGGGTAATTATTTCTCATGTGATTTTTCTTATGAATTTTTTAAAAGAGATTGAATGAAATGTCTTAATTGGCTAACATAGACAAACGCGATGACTAAATTAGTCAAATCGAAAACACAGGGACTAATTGGCCATATGGCTATAACACAGGGACCATTATTACATTTCAACCTTCTAGTAATATATAATAGCCTAGTTAAGATATTGCTGACTGTGCCGCTGACATAGAGCTACATTGTTTATCTGTGTCTTTACCACGGTTCTAAAACGTGGTCTGGGCGACCGCCTAGACGCTGGGCGTCGGCATCCATTGCGATTATTTCAAAAACGTTTAGTAAATCGGCAAGGGTATTAGGTGGTGCCTAGGTGGCCGACTGGGCAAGCTAGGCGGCTCTGCGATGGTTCTGTTAAAATATTATACGTTTCGCCGTTTCACTGCACCCCGTAGGAGATAAAAGTGACGACATAAAATTTGAAAAGAGAGACCGAGAAAGAGTGAGTGAAGAGTGAGTGTGAGAGAGATCTGTAGAAGGAATCATAATAGTGCAATTGCAGGAAAAAACGAGAACTTTGACCTGGAAGCTTCAGATTTCTTCGTTGTGCTTGAGGAATTTGACCGGGCTCATGATAGTTTTGGAAAAATTTACAGCGCAAAAAGATGGAAATTAGGTGAAGAATATGGGAATTAGGGGAGAAGATGGGGAATCAGGCAGAGCAATCGAAGAAGAAAGGAAGGGTGAGGAAACCAGAAACCCCAAAATAAAGAGTAGGATTCTCTCCTCCTCTTTTTTCCCCTCCCTTCCTACTTAAACGGTCACAGTTAAGCCATGTCAACATCTTATATTAATTTTATATAGAAAATAAAGACAAAATAGGGAGGTGAAAGGATAAGAGGAAAGGTGATGAAAAGAGGATGTGAGAGAATTCTAGTCCCAAAATAAAAGCCTTGCCGATTCTGAGGCGTCAAAAGCCACTCCCCTGTCAGATGGATTTCCACCACTAGCATTAGGCTTATTAATTATGGGATGTGCTATCCACACACTCCATTTTACTTCTTACACACCCCTTGATAATTTATGTCCGTTGATCTTCTTCAATTCATCCGATCCGACGGTCGAAAATTCAAAAGGTGTGTGGGAAGTAATATGAGGTGTGTGGATATCACACCCCTTAATTATAATAAAAAAAAGTTACCTACTCCACTATTAAACAAATATATTATATATTATTATCTACTTTATAATAAAAAAGTATGTACCTAAAATTCTTACATTACCTATATACAAGGCCTTTATGCAAGGGAATTTTCATTTTTATTTTTCAAAAAATAGGAATTAGGTGTGGGGCTCACTTCATATCGAATTTCAACAATCCGAACCATCTATTTTGTAAGTCTCGATTCATGGATCATTTTTGCAAAAATGCAATTCAATCCGAAACCATTTGTCTATTTAATTATCAAGATAAAATTTCATTGTTTCTTATATAACAAAGTATTTGTTAATCTCTTTGAACTCAATTAGATGTCTTAAACATTTTCGATTTGGATAATATTTTGCAAGGATGATATATGAGGTGCAACTTAAAATATAGACGGTTTGGATCGTTAAAGTTCAATGTAGTGTGAACCCCACAACTAGTCCCAATTTTTATAAAAAAAAAATGAGGATCCCTATCCTTAAAGAGTTCCTATATATATATCTTCATTTTTTAAGGGAACTTTAACGAAAAGCTCCCGGTACTGTTCACTTTAACAAAAAACCACATTTTTACACTAAAAAGTCAATCCTTGTACTATTCACTTTACCCTTTATTTTGTCCTTATCATTAAAACTCAAAGTTTTCAAGCCCTTTTCATTAGTTTTCCTTTTTTTTAATGAGGTTTTTGAACTTTAATTCTTCAAGAAGATTAAAATTTAATAAAAATCTGGTGTTAGATTGGATGTTGATTTTAGTCCCTTAATGTGTACTTAATTCAAATTTATATTATATTTTTGTTTTAATATTTAATAGATATCTTGTTTAATGTCATTACATTAAATTTTAAATTTATTATTATACACATTTTAATTCATTAATTTTATTTAACTTCCTATAATTAGTGTACCTAAACGTCCATATCATAATATATTTTACTAATTTAGTGTACCGAAATGTCCGTACCTAAACATATTGTCGTAAATTAGTGGCACATAAAAAAATATGCAAAAATATAAGTGTACCAAAAATTTCGTACCTAACTATATGATACTAAACTAGTGTACTGAAATGTAGATCATAAATATATTATATTAAACTAGTGTACCTAAATGTTTGTACCTTTTCTCTCTAGCAAAAAACTTCAGAAGAAACCCTAAACTTCATCCCCTATCTTGTCGCCGGCCTCTGGCTTCTGCTTGGGGTCGGTGGCAGCTAACTTTTCAAGCTTGTTTTCCTCCTCCTTCTCTTCTCTATCTTTCCCTTCCTACCCAGCACATGTGATGGCCCCCTTTTCCATCTTTAATCTGGGGATCGACACACCTTCTTCGGAATAAGTGGATGAAGCACCATCTATGGGCCTTTTGTTTTTCCCCGCACCTACGATGGTCCCATTTCCCGCCAAGGAATGGTGGAGCAACCCACCATCTACGGGTGGTGTGGATGGAGTATTATCTCCGGGTTGTTTGCCCATGTCTCATGGTAATCTGATTTGGAGCCTTTGGGCTATGATTTGGGGCTTTGAGCTCAAGATCTTCCAAAACTTCGAATCAAATTCCAAATTTTGTAGATCTCACCTCACCACTTGCTTGCTGCTTTTTTCGTGCTTCTTTGCAGTCAAAGACAACTATATGTTGTCACCCCTACAAAGGTCTGGTATCTCTTCATAATGGTGTTTACACCACCTGACCTTTTTGGTTGCAGCTTGGTCCTCGACATTTAGATGCCATTTGTGTGCTTGGTATCAGCTGAGGACTAGAAACGTGGCGTTCGGTATTGGTGTGGTTTCATTAGATCTGAAGATTTGGCACTTTTTCCCTAACATAATGACTATGATGGGTTTGAGTTGTGCACCTTGTTGTGGTGTCTTCACCGATTTGGCTGCGTACGCGGCGTGTGAAGATTTGTTTAGGATTTTTAGGTTTTTTGTGTGGTCACTTTTGGGCCTCTACAATTGGGCCTTAGCTTTTAGACGCCTATGTAATTTTTTGCTTTTGGTATAAATGAACTTTTACTCATGCATTGTGTGCATATGTGGCGTCCTATCTGTACCGATCCTTGTTTTTGGGCTATTTTATTTCTCTTTTACTTGTGGAGTCTTTGTAATTTGTCCTTCTAGACTTTGTTATAAAAATTCCCTTTGACCAAAAAAAAATGTTTGTACCTAAATATATTATACTAACCCAATATATCAAAATGTTCATACCTAAATATATTATAATGAATTAGTGGCACATAAGAAAATATGCAAAAATATAAGTGTACTGAAAAATCTCTACGAAAATATTTTCTTATATAAGATACTCACCATAATGAGAATTAAAATTTATAATATTTCATAAAATTTAATTTATGAACACCATAAAATTTTAATAAAAAAAAAAAGAGACATTGAATACATATGCTAGCATTTAATAGAGTCTAGGGACTAAAATCAAATTTTAATCTAAACTTCATCTTATTTAGGGATTAAAATCTAGTTTTCTATTTTTTTAATACAGTGAAAGTAGACAGTAGCAGCAAAGAATAAATGGCTTTGTGAATGATGAACTCAACTCAGTTAACCATGGATGAGTGTACGTGTTATCTCTACTAATTAATAAAACACTCATTGTCAACCAAAATCCTATGAAATTACCAGTTTAACCATCTAATTAAAACAAACCATGAATAAGAAATATAGGGTAGAAATGTAATTTCACACAACCAAATTTTGTTTTTTTTTTCAAAGCCTCACCTACATGTAATCCTAACATATCTCTAATTTAAAAAAAAAATAAATAAATAAATTTCTCACTCCCACTTTCTCTATCACTCTCTTCCTCTCTTCTTCTATTTCAAAAACAAAAAAAAAATATTTTCTCACAATTTGTGTGTGCCCATATGCTTAGGGGTGATTCGGTATGAGATTCCATACTGAAACCCTTGTCCCAATTCCCAAACCGAAATTTTCGGGAATCCCAATTCCAATACCGATCCCAAACCACATTTTCGGGAATCCCGAAATAGTTTTGGGATTTCAGGACAAATCGGGAATCCCGAAATGGTTTTGGGGTTTTGGGCTAAAATTCAACCTTTTATATTGAAAATTTGGGCTTTTGGGCAGGCTGCCAATCTACAGCCCAAGCTCTTGTTGGACTAAAATCTGCAATCTGCAATCTGTGCAATCTGTGCATAATCTGTGGCCCAATCTGTGCAGTTTGCAATGTGAATCTGTGCACAATAGTTATGTGATCTGCCTATTTAATTTCTCCTAATAGCATATGTGTGCAAGCACAAATCTTGTGAAATAATTATGAATGTTG